TGAAGCGCTTTCAATATATTCTGGAAATAAATCCTTTGTCAGTTTTATATGTTATGAAATTTCCCCCCGTCTGTGGCTTGCCTTTTTCATTTTCTTAACACTACCCTTTGAAGAAGAGAAATTTTTAATTTTGATGAAGACCAAATCATAAAATTTTTCTTTTATTTGTGCATTTAGTGGTGTGTCTACAAAATCTTTGCATATCCCAAGGTCATGAAGACTTTTTTGACTGTTTTCTTCTAGAAGTTTTTATAGTTTTAGGCTTAGGAAACATTTCAAGGTAATATATTTCAAGGTTCACATTTTTCCATATGTGTATCCAGTTCTAGCACCATTTGTTCAAAAAGATTACCTTTTCTCTATTGAACTGCTTTGGCATCTTTATTGAAAATCAATTGATGATACATTTGTGAGTCTATTTCTGACCTCTGTATTATTTTTTTGTAATTGAAATATAATTTATATTCCACAACATTAATTTTTAAGAGTGTATAATTCAGTGGTTTTTAGTATAGTCATAAGGTTATATAACCATCATCAGTATTTAATTCCAGAAGATTTTCATCACCTTAAAAAGAAACCCCATACCCACTACCAGTATCTCCCTAGTCTTCCCTTCCCATAGCTTTCAATAACCCCTGGTCTACTTTCTGTTTTTATGGATTTGCCAATTATGGACATTTCATATAAATCAAATAGTGCAGTGTGTGGCTTTTTGTGTCTCTTCTTCCAATTAGTATAATATTTTCAAGATTTACCCATGTTGTAGCACATACTACTACTTCATTTTTTAAGTTGGATTCTATTCTATCCTATGATCTGTATGTCTTCCCTTCACTAAATACCACACAGTCCTGATTATTGAGGCTAAGTCTTGAAATCAGGTAGTGTTTGTCTTCCATCTTTGTTCTTCTTTTTCAAAATTGTTTTGTCTATGTTAAGTCCTTTGAATTTCCACATCCATTTTTAATTAGTTTATCAGTTTCTGCAGAAGAGCCAGCTGGGTTGGTGATTCGAATTATGTGGATTTGACATCTTCACATTAATAAGTCTACTAATTTGTGAACTGGATGTCTCAAGTCTAATTTATTTCAGCAGTATGTTTTAGTTTTGGTGTACCAGCCTTGTACTTTTTTTTTTTTCCTCTAAGATTTGCTTATTTGAGGAGGGGTGGGCCAAAGGAGAGGGAGAGAGAAACTTAAGCAGACTCTGTCTATGCTGAGTGGGGAGCCTGATGTGAAGCTTGATCTCACAACCCTGAGATCATGACCTGAGCCAAAACCAAGAGTCCAATGCTCAACCAACTGTGTCACTAGGTACCCCTCCAGTCCTGTTCTGATTTTGTTCAATTTAATCTCATTTATTTTATGTTCTTTGATGCTGTTATAAGTGGTATTTTGTAAAATTTTTATTTTCGAGTATATAGAAATATAATCAATTTTTGAATATTGATTTTGCATCCTGAGAACTTGCTAAGATATTAACTTATTAATGCTAGTAGGTTTTTGGAATATTCCTTCAGTTTTTCTATATATACAATCATTTTGCCTACAAATAAACAGTTTTACTTCTTCTTTTTTAATGTGTGCCTTTTATTTCTTTTTCTTGCTTTATTGCACTAACTAGGACATCCAATCACATGTTCAATAGCAGTCATGAGAGAAGGCATCCTTGCCTTCCTAGGGGAAGAATATTCATTATTTGACCATTAAGTATGGTGTTAGCTGCAACTTCTCATAGATGTATGTGTTGAGGAAGATCTGTTTCTGGTTTGCCGAGAGTTTTTATCTAAATAGATCACATGTTAAATTTGGTCACATGCTTTTTCTATATCTGATGATGGGATGGGATCTTTTTTTCTCCTTTATTGTTTAATGTGCTGAATTACTGTGATGAATATTTTTCTAATTAAAGCAACCTTGCAATCCTGAAATGTTTATCCCACTCCTCCTTGGTCATAGTGTAGTATTTTATCTTGCTAATACTTTACCTTGCTAATGCTTTCTTAAGGATTTTTGCATCTGTATTTTTGGAAAGAGATCGTTTTGTAATTTTCTTGTAATGCGTTTGTCAGGTTTGGTATCAGGGCAAAGCTGGCCTCATAAACATGAATGAGAAGTCTTCCTTCTCTGCTTTGTGAAAGAGATTACAAAAAACACTTTGTCTTGATTTGCGTGTACTGTGTACATTAGTAAATGTTTTATAGTGGGGAGGGAAAGATAGCCTGTGGGACCAATCGGTCTGTCAGTCTGAAGACGACTGTTTGAGCAATTCTTTAAGTTGATGTTTACTTCCAGAGATGGTGCGTTAAATTGGAAACCTACCAGGTTACTCATGCCAGACACAGAGAGCAGAGGCTTTTATTTATTTATTACGATTATTTATTTATTTATTTGAAAAAGAGAGAGAGGGAGAGAGAGCGAGCATGTGAGAGAGCATAAACGGGGGAGAGGAAGAAGGACTCCCTGCTGACCAGGGAGCCCAATGCAGGACTCAATCCCAGGACCCTATGATCATGACCTGAGCCTAAGGCAGATACTGAACTGACTGAGTCACCCAGGTGCCCCAGGAGAGCAGAGGCTTTTAGAGCACCCAGTATGTGACAAGTACCACTAGAAAGATAATCTGAGTATTTTCCAAAGCAACTGTGTCTGCCAAAACAAAGCCACATTTCACATACCTATCATGTGATGCTATGAATTAAGTCAAAGGAAAGAGAAATAAAAAATAAAGATCATAGCTTGGACTCTTCAGTGAGTGAGATGAAATTGGGATGAATGTACATAAAATATTTAGTAACAATTTAAAAAAAAAATAGAGAAGCTGTTTTTTAGTTCAGCTGTTCAAGAGAAATGACAGCCAGATCAAAAATTCAAAGGTGGGGTTCTCTGAGAAGGGAGAGCAGGGATGGGTCCGTACAATCAAGAAAGGCTTCCCACAGGAAGAGAGATTTAAGCTAGGCCAGTAAAGACTGGCAGGATTTAGATTTAGAGAACCAATGGTAGTTTCAGGGGGGTGAGGCCAAGCCTCCCTAGCGGGAAACCAGAAGCGCGTATTGGTGGAGAGTAAATTCAAGTGCAATGCTCCTGGACCTTCACAGGTCCTAGGAAATTCTTAGGTAAATGCACCTGTAAAGCCATTGCCTGTTCTTGTGTTTCTCCCTCCCAGTGGACGAAGAACTTCTTGAGTGCACCAAACAGGTTTACTCATCTACAAATCCCCGGCACTTGGTGTAGCACCTAGGGTACATTAGGTGCTCCGTTGTCATTGAATAAATGAGTGAATGAAGAGACTTATTGCCTACGTGAAAAATTGACAGTACTTGTATCTCATGGGGTTGACCTTGGTTTTGGAGCCACATAGAGGCATCAGTGTACTAGCTGGTGGGAGTAACATCTCAGCAGGTAGATCCCTTAGAGGAAAGCTGATGTTTCATTCTGAACTTGTGCTCTTTCTGCTTTACCAGTCATACTCAATTCTGGCTCCGTGCTAGGATCTCCTGGGGTATTTATTTATTTATTTTTAAAGATTTATTTATTTATTTATTTATTTGACAGACAGAGATTACAAGAAGGCAGAGAGGCAGGCAGAGAGAGAGAGAGGAGGAAGCAGGCTCCCCGCCGAGCAGAGAGCCCGATGCGGGGCTCAATTCTAGGACCCTGGGATCATGACCTGAGCCAAAGGCAGAGGCTTTAACCCACTGAGCCACCCAGGCACCCCTCACCTGGGGTATTTAAACACAGTTGCCTGAGCCCCATCTCAGACTGATTAAATCGGAATCTCCAGGATCTGTGCCCAAGATCTTTCTTTTCTTTTTAAAGCTCTCCAGTGATTGTAATATCAGCCAGGATTGAGTACACTGTTGCTTTGTTGGAGATAACTAAATGGGCTTTTAGATGTGTCAGCTGTAAATGATTAAGCTTGCAGTATAAATGCTTATTAATGCTACATTGTAATTATATCCACCAAGATTTCCTATCTCTCTCTCTCTCTCTGTTGGGTGTCCTTTAAACAAAAGACCTCAAGTCTTTTACATCTCTATGAACAGAACTAGAAAAACCAAGAACATTTGCCAACTGAGGAGAAGCAAAGTTGTGAAATTCTCCGGTGGTGTTGCTGTTGTGTGGCAAACATTGCTACTCACAGATTACCCTGGTTCGAGTGCTGGGTCTCAGGGAGAATTTCAGGGTCACTATTCTTTATTTCATTCTCTGGTGCTTTTTAAAAAAGATCTGTATCTGTGTTCATTCTGTGTGTTTTGTTTGTTTGGTTGGTTTTTTTTGGTTTTTTTTTTTTTTTTTTTAGCAATTTCCACCTTATAAATTCTATCAAATATACACTTTTATAAGAAATGTGTAAAAAACAAAATTGTTTCTAGTGGGGAACCTTAAAACTGGGTCAAAAGTAAAATAAAGTGTGCACATTAGCATGAATGTGCATTTTGAGAAAGGCATAATTCTAATCAGATGCTCAGGGGGATCCAGGACCCAAAAATGTTTAATAATCAATGCTTTTAGTCTGAATACCTTCTCTGCCAAAATTCAAGGTCATGTATGAGCTGGCTCCTGCCTACCCACCCGATGCCATCTGCTACCACTCTCCCTTGTTCTCTATGGACCAACAATACAGATATGCTTGTAGCATCCAGTATATGCCATATTCTGTCACTGTTCTGGATTTTTGTATGGGCTGTTCACCTGGTCTGGAGTGACAGTCCTGTCCTCTGTTTTATATCTTTAGGTGTCACTTACAGAGCTTTTCCTATTAGACTCTGTCTTGGACAATGTTTGCTCCCTCCACTCCCACTGTACCTTCTTGCATTTATTTTGCTGTAATTGTTGGTTTACAGCTCTGACTCCCCATCTGGACTATAAGCTCCTTTAGGGGTGTGCCTGTCTTGGCATTCATGCCCAGCCCCTCACTTAACCTCTGTTGTCATGTAGAATGCACAAAAGGGATCTAACAACTGTAGGACAAACATATGGCCTTTTTGTTTTCAGGTGCTCTTGATCAAACTACAGAATGGTTAAAAGAATCTGTAAATGAAGAACTGCTTTCTCTTTCTGAGACTGCTTTAACTCCTGGGGCCGAAAACAGCTCTAAGCCAAGCCTGAGTCCTACACTGGTGCTAAATAACAGTTATTTAAAACTGTTACATTGGGATTATCAGAAAAAAGAATTACCAGAGGTGAGTGGTTTTTTTTTTTTCCCTTCCCTCAAGTTCTCCAATATTTTAATTCACAAGTTCTATCTGTGTATCAGCTGGTCTGTCTAGTGTTACGTGTGGTTTAATGACTTTCCTGAAATCAGATAGAAATGGGAGTTTGGATGTAACATTGCTTGTTTTATATTTTCATGGTATTGAGCTTCCCTTTCTATTTTTACATTTAAAATAAACATGCTAGACACTCATCACAGATGGAGCACGTCTTCAGGAACTGACAGAAAAGCTGAATCAATTGAAAATTATTGCCTGCCTGTCCCTAATTACCAACAACATGGTGGGTGCTCTTACAGAAGGCCTCCCTGAGCTTGCAAACAGGTTAAAAAGGATTTCAGCTGTTCTACTTGAAGGCATGAACAAAGAGTAAGTTCCAAGTGTTTTTATCTGCTCATCCTCGTGTTAAGGCTCCGCGTGTGTTTCAGAGATCACGAATGATCCTGGATGTCTGGGTGTGGTATTCAGGACTATACTTCAGAGAAGCTTATCTTACACCTTCTTTTTCTAGAATTTCTTTTAATATCTCTGAAGGTTTAGATGTCCTTTCATAAGAAGGGAGAGATCTTTTCCATGCCAAGTGCCAGGGTGAGTGTCCTATTTCCACTTAGGATGGGCATGTGTAAGAACTCTTCTTTGACAGTGCCGTGGAACAAGCAAACAAACAAACAAACAAACAAACAAAAAAACGCAGAATTCCATGCTGAGGGTTTAGAAGGCCCTACCAGGGAGGCTTCCTACTCAGTTGTTCTGACTCCATCATTTTTCTGCAATGAAATGTTTATCAACTTGTCTGATCCAGCCTGCTATGAACTCTTTGGTAGAAGTAGTGACATCCTGTCCTTCAGAGATATTGCACAAGTCCAGTGAAGGTCTTGTTTTTTGCTAAATTCATTGCCCAGGATCAGACTTTGGATCTCATTTGGGTCATCCTATTGTGAATCCTCTCCAAGTCAGAAAATTCCTAATCTTAGTCAAGGACCAGATGTTTTCATTGGTCTTACATGGGTCAGCTTCTCCTGCTGGTTCCCCTTTAAGGTGTTTTTAAGGCCTTACATTGTTCATTCCTGTCTTTGAAGGGAGATGCCCCTATCCCTCCATCCGCCTCCGCATTACCCAGAAAGCACATAAGATTACTTGATAAATCCTAGAATATTAAGAGCCAAAAGGAGCCCAAGTGATTACAACATCCAAAGTTGTCAGAGAGAGAAAAAGATTTATCTTGGGCTGCACAGCGAGAAAAAGGGGAAATCAAGGGCTGAGGTCTGGTCCAACTGTGTCAAGGCCCTGCCCTTCCTACTATTTTTGTGCTAGTCATCCAGGCTCATTTACTTCACATTCCAGGACACAAGACCTGTAACGAAAAGAAACCTTCTCTAGGTTTGCAGCTGGTCTTACCTTAGCATTTCCCCACACAGGGTAACTATTACTTTCCAGAAATTTTTATTAAGCCTTTAGAGAACCCACAGAGCTCTTTAAGTATTCATATAAAGCATATAGCAAAGTGGTTACTGAGAAGTCAAGCTTCAGGTCCGACAGACCACGGTTTAAGTCCCAGGTGTGCTATTGACTGGTTAGGTACCCTTGGACAAGTTCCCTAATCACTCTGAGCCTCATTTTTTCACTTGCAAAAAGGGATAATTGTGCTTACTTACCAATGTGGGAACTTAAGATGATCCATTGTGAAGCACTTAGTACAGGTGTTTGGCGCATGGTGCTTGATAAATGTTCACCTTTAATAACTAGTTAGTTGTTAAATCGTCTTCTTTATAAAAGCTCTGCCTCTCCAATTGCCTTATCGTTTTAATTCTTCATGCCTGCCCCCCCCCCGTTCTCTTATCCTTTAATTCCCATTTTGCACAAAGTTATATTAAAGACCATTTCTGGACAATGAGAGGCTGTTTGCAATCATCGTTCCCCAATAGTGTGGACCCAACACATGCCCTTTCTAATTGCCTCTTTTTTCTTACCTCTTAAATAACCCATTGCCAGTTACTTTTTATGGTTTTCTGGGATTTTTGATTGGGTACTTGAAAGTAACAATAGGAAGGAGATTATCTTTGATCATGATAGGTCAAGAATTTTAGGTAAATTGTCATTATGGTATTAACCTCTAAATAGGTTCATTTCTTGTGGGTTTTTTTTTAAGATTTATTTGTTTATTTTGGGGGGGGGAGAGAGAGATCATAAGTGGGGAGAGGGGCAGAGTGAGAAGGGAAAGAGAGAACCTCAAGCAGACTCCCAATACAAGCCCAATACAGGGCTTGATCCCAGGACCTTGGGATATGACCTGAGCCGAAATCAAGAGTTGGCCACTTAATTGACTGAGCCACCCAGGCGCCCCCTTCATTTCTTGGTTTTGATTGGTTTTATAGATGCACTGTTTGGGCATGGGTAAAGGAATTGATTCTTCATTCTGTAAAATTGATTTAATAACAACAACAAAAAAATCTATGAATGAATCTGCTCAGACCAAAGGGTTTGTTTTAAGAAGTAAATAGGTATTTTCTTTTCCTTTCTGATGGTCCTGCAGGAAAATGGGATTGCAGACTTATTCTCAGGGACCACCTTTTCTGACTCTGCTTTTCTAACTAAACAGCACCTACAGAATTGAATGGTTTTAAGCATTTAAAAATCTGCTACACATAAGGGGTGGTACCTGGGAGAAGTTACTATATTCTAAGTTCATGCTAATAGAGGTACTTACTGTCTGTGTAAATGAAAAGTGACAGACATTTGAACTAAGTTGGTATATTAAAAAATGTTTAAAAACTGCTGAATAAAAAAACTATTCCTGATGCAATTTTGTTTTATGCTTTTTTTAGGACCACTAACTTGAAGGAAGTCCTGAATTCTATCGGTGCTCAGACTTGTGTTGAGATTAACAAGGCCCTGGTGGAGAGAGGTTTATCCATTTTGAATGCTGAGGTCCAAGCTAATCTCATAGGCCAATTTTCAAGCATCGAAAAGGAGGGCAATCCTATCTGGTCCTTGATTGGTGGGTCCTCATGTTTTCATTGGTTTCTGCTTCTATTCCAATTTGCTTTTAACTTGCTGGTTTTGACCAATGTCAAGTGTCAGTTACATTTTTGTCTTAAATAGATTACCTGCTCCTTTTGGAGAATAAATATTGAAAATATGAAGAAACAAATTGTACTTTCAAAGGTTTGGGACTCACTGCTTCTTCTGTGTATATCTGTAACTGTGGGGGAATGTTCCAGGGCTTTCTGTCTTACTACCCAGCCAATAGATTTTTATGAAGAAAATACCATAATGCTACCAATATGTTAAAATCCTAGATCTATGCAACAATCCAAACCAGCTGGCAATGACACCAGTTCTGCTGTGAGCTAGGCTAAGTGAGCTGAGGCCTCTTTCTTGGCCAGGCTTAAAGAGACAATGAGCAAAGAGGCTATGGAACTGGAGGGCATAATGGTGGGCTTTTTTTTTTTTCCTTTGTACTTAATCCCTAGGCAAGTGTCTGTCTCCGTGTCAAGTTGTGTTGGTGAGTTGGGAAAATGGAGAATGCATCAGTTAGGACTCTTTCTAATACTTGTGACAGAACTGAACTAGTATAAGCAAAAAGGAAGTGCATTTTCTCATGTAACCAACAAGAGCAGAGCAGGGCTGTCTCCTATACGACTGAGTCAGAGCGCAGACCGTGTCACTAATTTCCCCACCTCCTCCTTCAGCACTGCCTTCCTTTGGGCAGGCTGTCTTCACAGATAGACTCTCTCCATCGTGGCAAGACAAGCCTCAGCTCCAGCCTGTATCTTTCCATATTGAAGTCAAGTGAAAAACAAGGTGTTGGCTTCACTCTTAGCCCAAATAATGACACCAGAATAGTCTTATCAGCTTCAGTCGGCATGACTGCAGGTCAAGTCACATTCTTGAATAGGTCATGGTGGCCAGAGGGGAAGGAACCGGAGCTTGAGACGTGTGTTCAGTTCCTGGAGTCAGGGTGAGCCGACTTTCCCTGCAACACCTAGTCTGAGAGTAGGGAAGAGAAGGTTTGGCCCAGACCAAATTGGGTGCTTTGGCCAGAAGAATGGGGAGAAGGTGACATGGGGCACAAAGCAAGTGTGTACTACAGAGAATGAGGAATAAAGACCAGAAAGAGGAAAAGAGCGTAGAATTGGAACTGTGGACTAATCTGCAAGTTTTCAAAGTACAATGCTAGCTTTCCTAAGAGTATAAATACTTGTCATTATTTTTTTTGAGGCTCTCACATAGGTCTCTCATTCCTACCTCTGGGGACATGGAATGCTGGAGATCTAGGCCACGAAAAGCTCAAGACTTTAAACCATTCCCAGAAAGGAGTAGTGTTGGTAGCAGCACTGTGGGCTACCAAGAGATGACCCTCAATGACAATGACAAACACAGGGCTGAGGCCTTCCCTGTATGCCTTCACTGCTGATTCCTGTGTGCCCTTATGGCCTTGGTCTCCAGCAGAACAGCCCATCCCTGGGAGGAGGAGGGGCAGAGTGTCTGCAGTCTCTGCCACATACCACTAGCCCCCACTAGTATACTGGCCTCATGAGGATGGAATACATGTCTCTTGCCTGCTATGTCCCTATACCAGGCTGGACCCACAGATGGCATTTAATAAATACAGTTGACCCTTGAACAAAACGTGTTTGAACTGCACACGTCCCTTATGTGCAGATTTTCCTTGATATAGTACTGTAAATGTATTTTCTCTTCCTTATGATAGTCTTAGTAACGTTTTCTATTCTCTAGCTTATTTTATTATAAGGATAATGTATATAATACATATACAAAATATGTGTTAATGAACTGTTTATGTTATCAAGAAGGCTTCTGGTCAACAGTAGGCCATTAGTAGGCTTTTGGGGAGTCAAAAGTTATATGTAAGTTTTTGACTGCACAGGAGGGGTCCGTGCCCCTCACCTCCAATTATTCAGGAATCAACTGTATTTGTGCAAGGGGTGAGCGTGTCAGAGACTTACACAGGGTGAGTACCTCACATAACCATCTGGCTTCAGACTAGGGACTCTCAATGAGCCAGTCTGACTCCGGAATCATATTCTTATCTACTCCGGCTGGGCCCCGTAGTCAGAACTGGAGCCCTGCTGTTGGTTGGCATGGTGGCCCGAGCGTCCACGTGTCCTCTGTGCCCTTGCTTTAGATAAGGGAAGCACTTGCAATTTCAGAAGGGAGGGAGCTGGGCTGCCCCACCCCAGGGTAGCCTCTTAAACTCCGGTAAAGCACTTTTTTTTTTAAACCCAGCTATCCCCAGTCCAACCTTCCTGCTATTTTGCAGACTGAAAGCATTTTTAACCTCATTCAAAGTACCGTTGCCTAGAAACTAAAATGACTCATTTGAGCAGCTCTCCTTCGACTCTGGAAGCCAAGGGCACGCCTTTGGCAGGGACTCAGTTTGGCCGCTCCTAAGTGGACAAACGCTTCTGTCATTTTATTCTTGGCCTAAAAACTGACTTGTCTGCAGAGGAGACAGACATACTCATCAGCATAATAACAGTTTTGAAAGAGTTTCTTTCTTTAAACAATCTTTCAGGATGGTGTTTGGACCATATCTGTGATGAAAGCAGACCTGGGCTCCCAAGCGTCAGGCAACCAGTCTAACGGGAAATTCAGTACACAGTTGACTCTTAATTTTCTGCTTGAAGCAGGGTTGGAGTAAATTAAGCACTCAGAGGAGCCCAGGAACATAAGAAGGACCAGTTAGCCTTGGTTTTCCTTTCCTGTTTGTGGTACCCATAGTCTGCCTTTTTTTGTTCTTTTTTTTTTTTTTTAAGATTTTATTTATTTATTTGAGAGAGAGAGATTGGGCACAAGCTGGGGAAGGGTGTTGGGGAGAGAGGAAAGAGACTCCCAGCTGAGCAGAGAGCCTGACACGGGACTCAATTCCAGGACCCCAGGATCATGACCTGAGCCGAAGGCAGACACTTAACCAACTGAGCCACTCAGGCACCCCTGCCGCCTTTTGTTCTTGAAGGGCTGTTTATTTATAATGGGATTACAACTCCCACTATGTTTTTAGCCTTTTGAAAAGATAACTAGAAAAGGTTTCTTTCAAACCAGCTTTCTTCAAATGCATATGATAACTAGGAAACAGTTATTTCTAGACTACATGCTATGTGGATTATTTACATGCTTATAGCTGTCTGTTTTTTTTTTTTTAAAGTAATTTTCAGTCGTCTAAGTGATACATACACGAATGATTTGTTCCTGTTGACAAATCGTGGGTCACATCAAGTCCTCTTTGGCTGCCCACCCTGTTCCTCCTTGACTCTGTTGTCTTCAGTGGGATGTACTCACTTTCACAGAGCTTTTTCATTCCATTCTCACTTCAGTTCAGTCAAGATCTGTGATGTGCCTGCCACGTGCCAGACCAGGGATATAAAGATAAGAAAAGACACAGCCCTAACCCTTAGGCAGCTTTCCATCTGAGAAGGGAGAGAGGAATATATATGTTATCAAGTAACCAAAGTATAGCATGATTGTCTGGCGGGTGTTAGGGAAAGTCACAGAAAGGAAGTAACTTTAGGCTCAGCATTAAAGGATGTTTTGGACTTTGGGCAGAGATGAGATGAGAGGGAAGGGTTGTCTAGTAAGAGAAAACAGTTCTGGCTAAGACAAGACATGTGACATTGGGAACTTAGAACTCTAGGTCAGACCTGGCTGTGTGACTTTTGGGAGAAGAGTTTGGAGACAAGAGTTTCATTAATGTCATCATGGTCCATATCCTATGGACTGTGTTCTCTTTAGTGAATTTTTCTTTGTGAAGTTTCCATTTCCAAAGCCAAAAGAAGTCCTTGGGGCTGTGTGGCTGGTAGCAGGTCTGGTCTGGTACTATTTGTCCGGTATTGTTGCCGCCGCACTGACTTAAGCATTTGCGTCCTCTTGCAAAGCTCCTTCACATGCAGACTCGATGAAGCAGCGAAGGAGGAGAATGGAGAAGATGGCCAGCTGGAGTGCCAGCTGGGGCAGCCCCTCCTCAGTGCCTCCAGATTGTTGGCCGCCGGTGGGGTCACTGTATAATTTGTTGTCCAAATCAAGACACGTTTGAGACCATTCTTGTTCATTATGTTGGCCCAAAAGGGGGAAAACCTGGATGTGTGGTCACCCTGGTCATGTGGTAATTTGGGGCCCCCAGGTTTGCATCTCTAGATTTTTCGAGAAGAACCAGAAATTTGGATTTCTATGTGAAATCCCCTGATTTTAAAGAATTTCTACTTCTTAAAAAGACAAAAACAAAAACAAACAAAACATTGTATGGGGCCAAACTAGCAGTGCCAGTTTACAGACTGAGCTTTCATGTACATAACTAAATCACGGATAGTAAGTATTAAGTTTTTATAAAAGAGCCCTGTCCTACTACAAAAGTGCTCTACATTTTTTTGTGTGTGTGTCACTTAGCCATTGCTGTGTAACAAGGCACCTCAAACTCCACAGCTTAACCCCCACAGATAATTAGTGTTGTTCACAAGCCTGTGGGGCACCTGGGTAGTTCATCTGGTCTTGCTGGACTCACACATGCGTATGTAGTCAACTGTGGCTTGGGTAGGCACTCTGCTCATCTTGCCTGGACTCTCAAGTGTTTGCAGTCTTGTTGGCTGTAGGTTGGTCTAAGCTGGCCTTGAATGGAATAGCTGGGATTCCCTCAATGTGGTCTCTCCTCCAGCCCAGGCTTGTTCACGTGCAGTGGTGGGTAGAGAGAGCAGATGTGAACCATGGCGCTTGGAGCCTCTGCATGCAACTAGCCTACCAGCACTTCTGGCACATTCTGTATCAGCCAAAACAAGCCATAAGGCCAGACCCCGTTCAAGATACGGGGAAATAGTCTCCAGCCTTTGATGGGAAGAGCTACAAAGCTACCTCGTAGAGGGTGTGGGTATAGGGAGGGCAAAGAATTGGGAATATTACTGCAGTTCACCTACCATAATTACTATTCTTATTTACTTTTTAAAATAAGATTCTTTAATAATGGAACAGCTAAAGATATCTTCTTTTTCCCCAGATAAACGAACCCAACTCTACATGAAAAGTCTACTTTGTCTTCCAAGTCCTCAAAAATGCATGCCTCCCGTCCCAGGAGGCCTTGCTGTCATTCAACAGGAGCTAGAAGCACTGGGCTCTCAATATGCAAACATTGTGAATCTCAACAGACAAGTGTATGGACCATTTTATGCAAATATACTTCGAAAGCTGCTCTTCGGTGAGGAAGCCATGGGAAAGGCGGATGCTTCATCTTCCAACTAAAGAGGAACTGACATTGGATTTGAGGTTGGAAATCCAGCACTTTGGTACCCAGTCCACCAGTGGCATGACAGATGCGGCACCTTCTCAGTCCTGTTCGTGGTGCAGTGTTGGCCTGAATTGTGTAATCCAGTAATATTAGCATTGCAGAAAATATGCACTTCGTATAGAACCTATTCATGCATCATTTTCAAGTTCGAAAGAGATGTTTTTAATGGACAGAAGGCAATTCGTAATTGATTATATTACCTATATAATACCTATAAATGTTTTCTTCAGCATTCATATATGGCTTATTCATCCAACCTTAAGGAGTTGTTTTTCCTCACTTGTCAATATCAAATCTAATGATCTTTAGTTTTGGTACAACTTCTTAAAAGGTTGGAAGTCATGAGAATAAGTAAGGGGATGATGTTCTGAATAAATGATGTGAAGTAAGCATAACTGTTTTGTATTTGTAATTTTTGAAATGTACAATGAAATATTATTAATGTGTAACAAAAAATTACATGGTAAGTCTTCAAATTCCACAAATGTACCAAATCACATTTTATATTACCAATTGTCAGTATTTGTCTAGAACTTAAATTTATTAAAAATATTTTAAAGCTATGTACGAATTTTAGATAAAACTTCTATTGTTCATTTAGTGAAAACAGAAAAAAAAAATCCCTTGTAAAATGTTATTCTAGAGGTTGGTTTTCTCTGCCTGCAACTTATCCTACTCTCTGAGAGAAAAAAATTTTTGCACAAATATCTTAGTGAATGTCCTTACATTTCTCAGGCCCGTTGATAAGGTTTATATAAGATTTTGATATTTTTACATAAGGCAGGAGTGGTTTGAATTGATTTATGTGTAATAAGAAGGGAAGTTAACAATAAAACCAAATCTCCAGGAGACCCCAATTCTCAGTGAAGTTCACATCTGAAAAAGAAATAGTTGAACTTTGGATTTTTAAAAACCATATAACTTGCTAGCAAATGCCTCCTATGCTGACTAAATTTTACCCCACTGTGACCAAGATGCTCTTCTAAGTGTCATTATCATTTGACATTCTTGTGCATTAGAGCAAAACTTGGCCAAGTTGGCCCTAGTTGTCATTGGGATTTTAGAGAAATCTGCTTGTCCTGGAATTACATACTTGTTTTGAAATGTTAAGGGAAGCACTATGGTCTGGGCAGACTCCGTCTAGAAAGTACTTTATTCCCATAAAACACATTTTGATTATTTTGTTCTCGAAGGACTCATTGGATCTTCGTAGTCTGGTGGGGAAGAATGAGTAAGACATAAAAAGAAATCTTCCTTTCTTCTTTACCTCCTTTTCCTCACTATGACTTCCACCATTATGGTGCTGCTTGATTATTTGATAAAGTTCAAAGAAATGATTGTGTGAATAAGTTATCTCCAATCTTTACATTTTGGAGGGATCTGCCAAAAGTTGAGGAAATTTTGTAAGTTTTTTTTTTTCCTCACAATGACCAATATATAAATCAGCCATTCTATCCATCTGAGCAGCTGTGTATAAGTAGACTTTTCCTGAAGAGCAAATCACTCTGGGTCTTACCCATTTGCTACCCTCTCTTCCTGTATTTCCCTTCTGCCCGTGTTGTCCTGTGCTTAGAAACTATAAGGTGCTGAAGATTTTTGTTTTCACAAAAATGAAATGTTTTGTTTTCATTTTTTCTTAAGTTGAAGTAGTTTTCAACTGTGTTCACTTTGGAGTATGGGTGGCAGGGAGGGTCTGACGAGGAAAAGTAATAGGTAGTGTGACTTCTTGCTGCTTTCTGAGGTAAATTGTAAACTTAACAAGAAGACCAGGTGGTGTACTTTTTTTTATCATCAGATTGGAATCCAGCTGGTATTCTCACATACTTGATTATACTGCAATTGCCAGCAGGAAAACAATGTGCAGACTTTTTTTTTTTTTTTTAAGTGCATTTAAAATGAAGGGCATTCTGTTGCTTTATTTTTCCTTTTTTAAGTCCCAAAGTAAATCTCAATGTCTCAAGTCTGGATTTAGGCAACTACATTTATTAGGCTTTTAAAAGCATAGCCTTTAGCATGTTGTTTTGGGTTTTGTTTTGTGGGGTTTTTTTTTGTTTTTGTTTTTGTTTTTTGGTTTTACTTAAATGTTTACTTCTCCTTTTGAGGTTTTCTTAACGTGGTCTTGTTTTTGTAATGTCAGTTTTATTAAACACCCTACACACATTTTCATTCTTCTGCTAAAACATGTATTGTGTGCACTAGTTAAATTTTAAAACATTAAAAATTATTTCAAGATAGCCAGTGTCTCTTTGTTTTCAAACCACTGTTGGGTAACTCAGGGCTGGGATATTGTACAGTCTTTATTGCAGTTGCTCTAGAATGATTCTTCTGGTGATTGTCAGAGCCTTAAAGAGATTAGGTCGTGGTCACTCACTCAGTCGGTCAGTCAACAAATACCTATTAAACATATACTGTACACCCAGAGGTATCCTACATTTTGTGATACACAGTGACTAGACAGACACTGTCCTCAAGAAGCTTATAAGCTAGTAAGAAGGACAAACTTGCAAACAATCACAACAAAGTGTAGTACAGGGCATAAAACAAGTACACATAGTACTAGAGGTAATACCATCAAATTTTATTTCATGGAGATCATTCTTGAGCTACACAGGAGGGATAGGCAGGAGTTGCCAAGGGCTAAGAAAGGGGAAGACATGATAGACCAAGTGCATGGTGAGTACAGTGGTGTGGAGAAATGGCAAGCCAAGGACCAGCACCTAGTAGAAAAGTAAAAGTGAGGGGAAGCGAAATGAGAGAGGTAAAAAGGTTCTGGGATGTTATGCTAAAATTTGTGGGTCTTGTCCTGAAATAGATAAAGAATCTGAATCTTTTGAAACAGGAGAGGGTTATGTTCTGGAAATTATGTTTTGGCAAGATTACCCCAGCAAAGAACACTTGCTGTTGGTGCTGGAATATTCCTCTGTGTGGAGTGTGTACACATACATGCACTCACATGGTATATGGAAGTATATGAACATATGGTATAAGGAAGAGAAATGGACCCAATCCAACTGAAGCAGAAAGGGAGCTTATTGCATAGCTATTAAGTACCTCACAGAATCTTCTTAATCTGGAGAATCAGGCTTGGAAAATGGGTAGGAACCAGGGCAATGCAAGCTGCAGGACTCTGGCCAAGCTGGATTCGGTCTTACAGCTTCAGAGATTGATTTCTCAAATGTCCTTGCTTCTTTGCCTCATTTGCTCAAGATTTAAAGTCCCAAGTGTCAAAAAGCAGAAGAATCTAGGCCAAATGCCCAGGCTCTTATTTGCAGGGGTTGGAATGAGGGAGTAGCTGACCCTTAGACTCCCATGGTCCCATCAAGGTCACCCAGCTAGAGATGTCTTCCAAATGGACAAGGTTTGTTGAAGAACAGAGAAAAAAAAAAAATCCACCATCATGTACCTTTATGAGGTCCTTAAAATTTGAATGTGAAGAATGTGTGAGCCCACCCAATCTAGCATTGCCTCTGACAATAACACCAGAATTCAAGGAAGGTCATAAGCATGTGAAGTCAGCCTTTACTGGTGCATGTAGATGAGCTGTTGAGCAAATAGCTCCACGTCTCAGTGGCCTCACAGACCCACATTTCTCAAATTATTGTTCAAAGCAGGGGGTAGGTTGGTGGGCTTGGGGGGAGGTGCTACTCCATTCAGTCCCTGAGAAGCCCAACTTCCATCCATCCTGTGACTGCTGTCCCCTTAGCTCTCCAACATCTCCATTCCCTCGGAAGATAGGGAATGAAAAGGATTGCCTACTTCCACTCATGGTTCACTGGCCAGAACTCAAATCATGTGGCCTCATCTAGCTGCAAGGAGGGCAAAACAGTGTGCCGAGGAGGAAGAGGCTGATTTGGTAAGTTTATATTGGTAAGCATTAGCCGTCTCTACCTTGGGTCCTTCCAGCTTCCTTAAATAAGCCCCATGAAACTTCTTTTCCTGAAAACAGGTTTAAAGCCATGTGCCTGCTCTGATCTTTGACTAGCAGTTCTCTGGAGCACTGTTGAGAGGATTTTAAAGCCTGATCCAGGAAGAAGAGTAGAGAGTGCTCTGTCTGGTTGGTGAAGTATGCCGAGGCCATGGAACGGGCCACCTGTTGTGCAACATATTTTTATTTTTAACTCGAACCCTTCTTAAACCTAAAGTTCCGCCTGTTCCACCTCTGGGGGTGTTAAGTCCCCAAGTTTTCCACTCATTGTTTAGTGAAAGTAGTGTGGGACTGAGAGTTACAAGACATGAGTTAGAATTCGCTTCCGCTATTTAATAGCTCTATGAACTCAAGCCAGTTTCTTTAATTTCCTCGAGCCTCTGTTTCCTGCTCTACCTCACAGAGATGCTCTGAAAATCAAATGAGATAACATATTCAAAATCATCTGCAAACTCTAAAGCATAATGTAGTCAGAATACATTAAAATAACTGTAATTTATTAGTCCTAAATCTCTTTCAAGCTTCAGGAAGTTTTAGTACTGTGAGCTGTGATGGTCAAGTACTTAAATCCATCAGAACAGAAATGGTCATATCCCATCAGGACCATGGTTCGTTAAGCCCAGTATTGTCATTGGCAGAGAAACTCAAGGGTATGCAGAAGGCAGCAGTAATTGTCCTTGGTGACAACTGTAAAGCAAAGTGACAAACCCAATGTGTTCTAATTGTGTCTAGTAACCACTGATGATTTAATCTTTTAGAAAGTACGTTTGTATTATTGACTTGTGTCCCCTTTTTCTCTGTTTTTGGGGTGAAGCTTCCTCTTTCTTGTTCCTAAGCTTACTATGTTAGTCTCTTTCAGATTCCAAAGGAAAGGGACTGAGGGGTTTATTGCAAGGCTTTATAAAGAAGAAAACCCAGGAATCTGTCTTCAGTAGTTGCACTGGCAGGATTGATAGAGAACCTGAATATAATTCTTTTTTCTTTCAGGAATATAATAAAATACAATAATAAATAATAAAAACAAACAATAATAATAGCCACTAAGCCGCTTACCATATGACAAGAAATACTTCATAC